TGTGGCCGTGTTCATAATTAATATTACTGAAAGTTGTTTTTTTTTGTCTGAATTTCTTGTATGAGGAGTTATCATTATTTATATTATTTATATTCGATCTAATGTCCTCAACTTTGTTGTTGTTGCTATCCCAACGTTCCGACCATTGCGCCCTCCGGCCTTCCGTGTATAACGAAAGGAATTCGCGATCATAGATTCGCGGCGCAAACAAAATGTTTATCATTGAGGATTGTCCTTCATATACAACCCATCCAACTATGGGCCTATTAGCCTTCTACCTCGTTTTGGGAAATTCCTAGAGGTCCTAATCAATGCTGAATTGGTTCATCATCTCTTATCGCAGGGATTTTTCTTAGACAAGCAATATGGCTGTCGTTTCTCCTGGTCAACTGCTGATATACTGACGATAAGAGCGGAAAGAGTCTATCATGCTCTAGATAAAAACAGTGAAGCCCGGGCTGTAGCATTAGACATCTCGAAAGACTTTGACAGGTTCTGGCATTCAGGTCTTCTCCAGGCACATTTTTGAGTCGTTTCTATCAAATGCTGAAACAAAAGTTATCCTGAAGGTCCACTCGTCTAGATTCTTTCGTACTAACGCGAGTGGTCCTCAGGGCTCCATCCTTGGACCTACGCAGTTTTTAATCTTCATTAACGGCCTTCTTGATGACACCAGATTTGGCATCTACGCTGACATCACTACAATCTACTTCTGCCTCGGTCAAATGGCAGATGATGTACAAAACGACCTAAAGACCGTCGGTAACTGGGGCAAAAGGTGGTTTGTCAATTTTAAAGATTCTAAATCTAAACTTCTCTCCATTAATCATCTGAGAGAGTCCTCTCTGCCTTCCATCAGCATGGCTGATGCTAACCTCCAAGAAAGTGACTCGTTGCGCCTTCCCGGGCAAACGTTCTCACCTGACATGAGCTGGAAAGACTATATTGAATCCATTGTTAGGTCAGCGGCAAAGAAAATCGGTTCACTGTCGTGCGAGACAATTTTTCGCTCCGAATTCTCATCTAACAGATACCTGAATATAATGGATGTAATCTGGAATTCTGATTTACCAGACACCTGAATACAATGGCTGTAATCTGGAATATTTATTTAACAACACCTGAATACAATGGATGTAACCTGGAATTCTGAACTATCAGACACATGAATACAATGGATGTAATGTGGAATACTTATCTACCGGATACCTGGATACAATGTATGTAATCTGGAATTCTGATCTACCAGACACATGAATAAAATGGAAGTAAGCTGGAATTCTGATCTACCAGACACATGAATACAATGGATGTAATCTGGAATTCTGATCAACCAGACACCTAAATACAATGGATATAACCTGGAATACTTATCTAACAGACACCGGAATACAATGGATGTAATGTGGATTCTGATCTACCAGACACCTGAATACAATGGAAGTAAACTGGAATTCTGATTTACCAGAGAGCTGAATACAATGGATGTAACCTGGAATATTTATCTACCAGACTGCTGAATAAAATGGATGCATTCTGGAATTCTGATCTAGCAGACACCCGAATACAATGGATGTAATCTTTAATTCTGATCGACCAGACACCTGAATACAATGTATGTAATCTGGAATTCTGATCTATCAGACACCTGAATTAAATGGATGTAACCTGGAATACTTATCTACCAGACAGCTGAATACAATGTATGTAATCTTGAATTCTGATCTACCAGACACATGAATACATTGGATATAATCTGGAATTCTGATCTACACGACAGCTGAATACAATGGATGTAGTTTTGAATTCTGTTCTACCAGACACCTGATTACAATGAATGTAATCTGGAATTCTGATCTAACAGTCGCCTGAATAGAATGGATGTAACCTGGAATTCAGATCTACTAGAAACCTGAATACAATGGATGTAATCTTTTATTCTGATCTACCAGACAGCTGAATACAATGGATATAATCTTGAATTCTGATCTACCAGACACCTGAATATAATGGATGTAATCAGGAATACTTAACTACCAGAGATTTGAATACAATGGATGTAATCTGGAATTCTCATCTACCGGACACCTGAATACAATGGATGTAATCTGGGATACTTATCTCCCAGACAGCTGAATACAATGGATGCAATCTGGAATTCTAATCTAACAGACAACTGTATACAATGAATATAATCTGAAAAACTTATCTACCAGACACCTGAATACCATAGATGTAACCTGGGATTCTGATCTACCAGATACCTGAATACAATGGATGTAATCTGGAATTCAGATCTACCAGACTACTGAATGCAAAGGATGCAAGCTGGAATTCTGATCTACCAGACCACCTCAAAATGAGATTATTTCGTGCCACTGTGAAGACGATGTTAATGTATCGTGTTACTGTTTGGATATTAACTGAAATCCTTGATTCTAAACTTGATGGAAGCTACTCTCGGATGCTGAAGAGACAACATCCAACTAAATCACATCTCTATGCATCTCTCTGTTATATTTCTACAATCTTACCTGAATACAGAATGCGCTTTGCAGGACACTGCTGGCGAGCATAACAAGAACTTGCGACACTCTTTATATTATACGGACTATTGTCTTCATCTTTGTCGCCATATTTATTTCAACGTTTCGGCCGTTGTACCCTCCGGCCTTCTTCAGGTGGTTGGAATGTCAACCTAAACCCTGAACTGAACTGAATAACTTGCGAGTTATCTACTGCTCTGGGCACCTAGCCATGCAGCATACACCTACATTGGCTAGCTGTGATATGACATAGAATGCCCCCCCCAATGAACTTCCAACATTGATGCAGGAATGTGATGGTTGGCGTGATAGACTCATAAATGCCCGTGCTAGCTCGATTGAATAAAAAAAAAAATCCTATTCCTACCTTTCTGAAGGACATTAATGGACTCTCCCGTCTCCCGATTCCTCAATCCGAGCCGCTATCGATTACTCCACCGCCCCCTCCAGTCATCGATACTACAAAATAAATACAATTGTGCTTTAATCACTGAGTCGACTTTAGACCTACTAATTGTATAAGTTACCAGCAACACCGCTTGTACTTTTCTCAGAACTGTTTACATGAGCGCTTACACTTGAGATATTTCCAGTTTTTTTCCCCGTTTTTACAGTTTTCTAGAGGCCACTGCTGACGGGTAAAGCTTATGCTACCCATTTTATGTTCATCCTAGAGTCGAGTTGTCCATATACACTATTTATCAGAACCCTGGCCTTCAGCCGTTTGGTCGGCCATAAGAGAAAAGCAATGAAAAAACTACGTTACAAAGAATTTTTTTTTAATTGACTTCAAATTTGAATGATATACACCAATGCTTCTCAAACTATCTGATATGGCTGACCGGCATTTTTTTTCTCAACTTGTCACGTACCTGTAATATTTCGTGGTAATATTAATTTATACCGGAAACCATATATTTAATGAATGTAATAAAAAGTGAATATTCTTTTATCTTCCATTTATTTTGCAAAAAACAAACAAAACATATAAAAAGTAATATAAAAAAGTTTATTAACACAAAAGCGAAAATTATATAACATTAATCTTTCCTTAGTATGGCCTGGACTCTCCGGACTACCACTTTGCGAAGCACTGATCTAGGCCACGACATGGCTGAAATCTATGTGAATACTGAGTAAGGTTCGAGAAGTTTGCTAGCACTTACTCACTACTAATGAACACAAGATAGATTTTAAACGAAGATGTCTATACAGCAATATCAAAAATATCATTATTTACTTCTCCGTCATCATTCAGTACATCTTTAAATATATCCTGAGGGCAGTTCCTAATTACTTAAATGCTAGAGGCAATATGTTTTCAAGTTTGTAATACGTCATAATCAATTTGCTTGCTATTTTTTCAAATCGTAAAATGGCCGATTTGTAACAATCTGTTTAATATTTTATCTATCGCACGGTTTTTAGGGCAGTTGTTGTTGTTGTTGTTGTTGTTTAAGTGTGGTCATTGCAAATTGTTTCGGCAAATTTTAAAAACCACTCCTAACGTCTATTGTGTCGCGCCATATTGGCTGCATGGAAATTAATACTCACGCCTCTGCCTAGAGAGAGAAAAAGACAGACAAACAGACAGACAGACAGACACACTATATAGAGAAAGATGAACTACTGAGCAAAGAAAACAAGAACATGAAAAGTAAGTAAGATAGCTATATAGATAGATATGGGTAGCATTAGACAGATAGAGAAATAAAGGATTATAAAGAGAACATTAGGTAAGTAGGTAGGTAGATAGGTAGGTAGGTAGAGAGATATATATAGAGTTGTAGGAAGATAGATAGAGAGAGAGAACATTATATAGATAGATATATAGAGCATTAGATAGAGAGAGAGAGAGAGAGAGATATGAAGCATTAGATAGACAGATAGATAGAATTTGATAGATAGATATACTGCATTAGACAGATAGATAGAATTTGATAGATAGATATACTGCATTAGACAGATAGATAGATAGATAGATAGATAGATAGATAGGTAGATAGATAGAGAAAGATATATAGAACATTATATAGATATATATATAGAGGATTAAATAGAGAGATACACCATTATATATATATATATATATATATATTTGGTTGGATTGGTGTGATTTTGTCACCCTGGGTTTCACGCTTTTTGCGGTCGTCAAATATGTTAGCTCTATCTCTGATATTGAGCGCTTTCTAATAAGTATCGCGCATATAATATATAAATAATTATATATATATTTATATTTATATACACAACAGTTTTCACACACACACACACACACATATATATATTTATAAATATATAGAGAGATATGCAGCGATAGATAGATAGATAGATAGATAGATAGATAGATAGATAGATAGATAGAGAGATATAGAACATTATATAGATAGATATTTAGAGCATTAAATAGAGAGAGATACACCATTAGATATATGTATATGTGTGTGTTCAGCATTAGAGAGATATATGCACCATTAGATAGATAGATAGATAGATAGATAGATACGAGCGTGGATCACCAAGTCTGACAGTATTCGCTGAGTTTCGATCTGTGATAAATCGTCACTAATGTGTGTAACACGGAAAGAAATGTTGAAAATAATTATTCTTTGTAAAGAATTAAAAAGGGAAAACTTTTGTGAATAACAAAAACAAAAGTGCTGAAGTGTTATCGGTCCTCCGATATGACAGCGAATGTATGAAAACCTCCTCACAAATGAAGAAAAAACTTCAGGCAACAGAAATGTGGTTCTACAGAAGGATGCTGAGACTGAACATGTGAGTCACAAGGAAATCTTAAGTACAATCGAAACAGAAATATATTTATAATTAGAATCAAAAAATGGTGACAGTTGAAATTTCTCGGGCTTAATGAGAAAAGAGATATTTTAGAATTCGATATCCACGTGGCATATTGAAGGTAAAAGGGGCAGAAAGAAACGGTAAATAACCTACCTTAGAAGTTTGTGTAAATGGATGGCAGAATATGGTATAGGAGCGATGGTAAAACGTTATCACTTACTCTGTAAGCTTCTACTTGGTGTGGCTCTTAATACAGGGTGAACATTATTGTAAAAAAAAAAAAGGTATCAAATGGGAATTTGTCAAAGCATTTGGCTAATCTTAGTAAGAGTTACAAAGGATAGGGACTTGTGGAAAGCCTGATCGCCCACGTCCTGAAGAGACGGCTACGGCTTTATAGATTTGCTTACGTAGAGACAGAATCAGCAAACAACCTATTGAAAGAAATGGAGAAAGAAGCCAGCAGAGACACGATTCCTAGACAAATTTGAACAGAATGAGCCAGTCATCGAAAGGGTTTGAAGAGAAAGGAAGAGACGTGGAACGGACGACTGGCCAGCGATTGGCGGAACTAAAGCGAGTATTGTGTCACACTTGAGTTATAAAAGATTCATAACCCTCTCTCACACTTTTGATAAAAGTGTAGGTTTTGGGATATATATATATATATATATATATATATATATATATATATATATATATATGTAAGCAAATATAAATGGATATAGATCCGACAGAATGAAGAAAATATTTGGAAAAAACAAACAAAAATCCTTAAATGCAATTATGTTGTTTTAATATGAATGAAATGTCAACGTCTGACGTTTCGGTTTAATAAACCTTCTTCAGGACAATATTCATTAAAATACAATTAACATAATCAGTTTAACTTGACGAAGACGATGGACATAGAAAAACAAGTCTTATCCAAAACAGATAACTGAAAATTTTAAATGATCAGCTTTCCGTTTAAGCGTGGTCACGTTGTCGTCAAATGGGCGACGCTTTCAAAACGTATTCCTGAAATATGAGTATTTTAAATGAAAATGAAAAGAATTCTATTATGATCTAAAATTTTTATGTATGCTTGTCGAGCATTAATCTCGCTAAAAAAGGGGAAATACTAAAGAAACCAGGTCTAGTGTTCACTGTGCGTGAGATGGATATTATATCTGCTTCATAAATCCTCCTAAGATTTTTATTATGACAATATTTTAATATTTTGATTCCGTGAAGATATATATACGTATGTGTGTGAGATAGAGAGAGAGAGAGTTACAGCGGGAGAGAAACTTTCAAAAAGAGAATAAGATTATGCGTGGCCGGACATCTGGCGGACAGGCAGTTGTCTGAACGGACATTTCACCGAAAAAGTACAAGTAACAATAGTAATAAGCAATACTTTAAATGTTTTAATTCGCAGTATTATAGGGTAGAATAGGACTAATAATTAATTATTATTTCAAGTGATTAAATTACTAAATCTAAATTTAAAGTTAAAAGCTTTCTTATTTCAATATTTGTTTACTGAAATTAGTATTTTTTAAAATATTTGAGTGTATTTGGGTAAAAAGTAGCACCTAATTATTTAAATTCGTAATTAACAATAACATAAAAGCTAGTTCATCCCTTTAAGATAATGATCGTTAAAAGCGGAATTAAAAGATCTTTCATATCGTAAAAGCTTAAGATTTTTGCTGTAGTAAAATGTACTTTTTCTCAAAATACTTATACAGTAATATTTAAAGTAAAATATAGTATATACAGATTAGATTTTAAAAGGCCTGCCAACAAAAAAAAAAAACGAAAAAATTATAAATTAATACAGTGAATAAATATGATTATATGTAGCACATTACGATAAAGAGTGTGACATGTACGCCATTATATTTATGGTTAAATGTTAATCGGCCAAATGTCCGTTCGGCATTCAGGCCGGTAAATTTAGTTAATACTGTTCATTATAAACATAGCATTTACTTAAATATTTGTATCTCTAAACATAACATATACACAAACAATATATATATATATATATATATATATATATATATATATATATATATATATATATACTCGTAGCCGAAAATTCCAACTTTAAAATCTCTCTCCGTGCTTCAATTTTGTTAAAAGGCTAATATATAATAAATAATATCAAGCTTATTGCCAATATTATTATCATTTTTTGAATTTTATCCTTCAAAAATTATCTATATATATATATATATATATATATATATATATGTTTGAATAAAAGACAGACCACGTTAAGATTCCATGTAATAAGCTCTTTCACCATAACCCCTTTAACAGGATTCTGGATCATCAGACTTTACTTCCAAAAAGCTAAAATGAAAAAAAATTTTCATTTCAGCTTTTGGAAGTGGTATGTCTTAACGTGGTCTGTCTTTTATTCAAACATATCTGCTCTGAATTTTACATTGAGCTCTCTAGATATCATCATCCTCAGGTCTACCCATACGGATTACCTAAATTTGCATAAACTATATATATATATATATATATATATATATATATATATATATATATATATATATATGCTCCTGAAAAAATTTATTTCGGTCGAGCTCTCTGGGGAGGAAGTGTGGGTTTGTAAACAGTGACTATTAGGGCTAATAATGCAAGACTTTTCGGCAAATCGAATCGAGTTCGATCAGTCACTGTGTGTTTATCTAAAAATACATACGCTTAAATTCACCTTCATCCCTGTCGTGCGCCAACGGCTTAGTGATAGAATCCCTCGACTGATGCCAATTCAGTCGGATTTCGATCCTAGCTAGAGGCAACCGGACGTCTAGCCAAACTGATGAGCTGTGATACAGTCTGTCTGTGGATGATAATATATATATATAAGAACCCGTCTTTCTTCATTCGATCCAACATCTACCACAATACTACATATTGGTCGGGGTCCTACTAAAAACACGCATGATGTCAAAAATTTGGTTGGTTGAAATTTGTAACTACAGTGAAATTGATGTTGTTTATAGGATTTCTCTACCTCTCTTTCTCCATATATATATCCTGCTATTTTACCCCATAGCTGGATGGAGATGAAGAGGATTCATACCTTTCCTAAGGGTATTAGCACGTAAGTGAATGTAATGGATCCGACTGGAATTCGAACTCGGCTCTGCGATTTCTCAATCCAAGCCGCTATCCATTACTCCACCGTGCCTCCTATAGCCTTGGATGGCAACTGGTCTAGGAGAAGGACAACTCTGAATTCAAAAACTGCGGAGGGTCGTTTGGGAACCTTGTGGCATTCGGTGCACCAGGTTTCTGTATTCGTCCCTCCAAAAACTGTGGCTGGTCCTGCACGAGGCCTTCACCACTATAATCAAATCTCATGTGCCGATGTCGGGATGTCGGTTTCCTGGAAACTTATCGGCCTGACCCTCATACGTCGAACTCGACGGGAGAGTCGATTTATATATATATATATATATATATATATATATGTGTGTGTGTGTGTGTGTGTGTGTGTATGTATATAAGTAATAAATTCCAATAACAAGTATAATAAGTAATTGTATTTGCTCTACTATTTTAAAGTAGTATTTTTTGGTTATTGGATTTATTTATATATATATATATATATATATATATATATATATATATATATATATATATATAATTACTTATTCGAAAATTATACGATAAATATGTTGAAAACCACTACAAAAATAGCTATTTTGTTTCAACACTTCTGGTGTTTTATCAAGTGATGGTGTTGAATGTAGAATAAAAAATGTTTCCTTTATTCTACATTCAACACAATCATCTAATAAGACACCAGAAGTGTTGAATCAAAATGGCTATTTTTGTAGTGATTTTCTAACATATTTATGTTTTAATTTTCGAATAAGTAATTATATATATATATATATATATATATATGTATATATATATATAAAGAAATAAAGAACAGTAAGATATATAATCCGGTGTTCTTATAGATATTTTTATTTTTACAAAATAGTGCTCAATGTAAATTTACAGAGCATTAATATTATAAATTCGCTTGAGGATGAAATGGAACTAATGTCTTTAATTTAATTACAAAATTAAATTCTGAGCTTTTAGCTTCCATTTTTGAAACATGGTTGGAACTGTGTAGCGAAAAAAACATATTTTAAATCAATTAATTTATAATATATATATATATATATATATATATGGAGGCATATTAAGTATTACTCTTCAAGTATAAATCGTGTTCTCCGAGCTGTTGGCGTATGTTGTAGAGAGAAAAATGTTAAAATTCGCTTCCTTTCAGCCGTGCGACTATGGCCTAGAGGTAAGAAATGTAACATGTCAAATCAGTCGGATTTCGTTCCCGGCTTGAAGCAATCGGACCTCTAGCCACGCTGAGGGGCTGTGATACAACGGAACAGTCTGTATGTGGATATATATATATATATATATATATATATGCAGTGGGGAAAACAAATATTCGTGTACATACTAATTTTTAATTTATTTCCAACTAATGACTAAACATACTTTTCATGTAATTAACTGTTCACAGATGCATAATAGCTAAATATACATAGAAAACAGAAAAATGTATTTAATAGAAATAAATCCAATTTATCCATTTTAATGGGTGAAAGAAGTATTCGTACAAT